TTTCTCTTAATACAGGACTTCGGCACATCCTTTCATCTATGGCTGGTCCACTCCACCTAATCCCTTAGACCCTGAGTATGTGGCTTCCATCCTTAGCATGCACATCATTTACTTAATATGTTTTTGTTGATCTTTCCTTTGCCTCACTCTGTTTCAATCCCTATCATCAGTGTACCCTGTGTATCTCTACTACAGCACTTAATCACAGTTGCCTGCTCCCAATCACCCCCACCCAGCTATAAGCTTTGGCTGTGTTGAGAATGTGTCTGAGGGTGGGGGGACATGAAACTGGGCTGGAGAAATAGCTCAAAGGTTAAGAGTGCTTGCTGCTCTTGCAAAGGACCAGAGTTTCAGTTCCCAGAACCCACACTGTAAAGCTCACAACTGCTTGTGACTCCAGTCCCAGGGGGACACAATGCCCTCCTCGGACCTCTATGGGCACCTGCATTTACATGTACATACTCACACTTGGACACTCACACATACACACAAATAAAAATAAATAAACATTATTTTTAAAAATCACATTGTCGCTCTGCTTCCCTGGGCTTGCACAACCCAGCCAGCCTCTCTCCTGGCTAAGTCCATTGCACCCTCCAAGCCTTATCTCCCCCAGCCTCATTTACCCTCCCATCTCTCCCATCGGTCTCTCCTCCTAGCCTGGGTACTCTCCCATTTCTTGTCTTGGCACCCCAGGCACTGGGGGAACCACCACTGCTTCCTGATCCTTTGCATCCAGACCAACCCAGTTCCTTCTCATGGTCCCCAGGAGCCCTCTAGGCCTGGTGCAGACCTCACCTCCCTCTGCTTCCCTGGGCTGCACAACCCGCCAGCTTCTTTCCTGGACGCCAGGGCTGACCTCTGGGCTTCCTGATCCTTTGCATCCAGACCAACCCAGTTCGTCCCTACAGTCCCTAGGAGCCCTTGGGGCTTCTTCCTGCCCCCATCTCCCTTTGCACCTCTGCCCAAGACCAGCATCTTTCTGGGGCCCTGCTCCCAGGCCAGTCCAACCCCCAAATTCCTGAGGACAACACCTTTTCTGGAAGGATCCAGACCTTAGGATCCCTCCTGAGATCCTAAAGCCTGAGAGCATCTGATCCTCACCTGACTTGGGCCTCTGTGGAAACTCCTGAAGACAAAAGCAATCTGGCCACTCCAGTATAAAATCA